CCCAACAATCATTCAATTGTTACGATCCTGGTCGTTTCCCAAGTGCAATTCACAATGAAAGACAATGTCACCCAATTGCGAAAGAAATGAAAGCACTTGCAAAGAGATAAAGACCAGAGAAGAGAGGGGAAGAAGAAGAAGAAGAAGAAGAAGAAGAAGAAGAAGAAGAAGAAGTACACCAGCAAGATCGATGACAATTCCCCCCTTCTCTCTCTAACCTCCTCCTCCTCCTTCACTTCACCAATCTTATTCTTCTCTCAATAATAATAATAACAATCAATAGATGAACCAGAATCAATATACGAAGTTCCCTCTTACTGTTGACTCAACTCCCCAACAACAACAACAACAACAAGCCCACCATAGCTATGGCTTCCCTCCTTCAGTCTTCCTTCTCATGCACAGGCTATGGCGGACTGATGAGGGCCCTGCCCTCCTGTACAAAACACAACCCAAAGCAGCTATGGTGCTGCCGATGTCCAAAGGACAACCCAAGAGCAGCTATGCCGCTGCTGACTGGTCCGCCATGCCTGACTCTGCCTAAGCTTCCTTCCTGCAGCGCTACCCCAACTGGGGCCTTTCGGATGCAGCGCCCAACAAGATGATGAAGACGGTGTCCACCATAGCCAGGTAAGTCCCTCAACACTCTCCTACCATGCCCCTTCTTCCTCCTCCTCAAGCTGGATTGCTCGCCATAGCTAGGCTGAGCTCGAGCGGTCCCTTCTTCCTCCAAGCAGCGTTGTACCTCCAGCGCTGTGCTCCAGCAGCATGTCGCCAATCCTTGCACACCGCAAATGAGGAAGAGCTCTTTGCTCTTCCTGGAGATATAGCGGCCTACTAGGCTCCTAGGCGGTGACTTCCTAGCTCCTGCGTCCTCACCACATCGTCCTCTCTCTCAACCTCCGATGGCAGCATGCCCTCCACTCCCTCAACTTGCTCGCCATCATCAACCCTCGCCATGGCCTCCTCTCTCTCGACGTGCGCACCATCATACCTTCACCACGCCCCCCACTACTCCAGCTACCTCCTCCTCCATACCCCGAATACCCTCAACTCCGCCCGCGCCGGCGGCTCCGTGCTCCTCCGCTCGTCTCTCCCTCTCCTCCGCCGGTTGAGCCCCGCTATGAACACCCATCTCCCCCAAGTCGCTGGATGCACGCGGGTCCAAAACAAGCTGACGGGCTACGCTAAACAATGATCCATGCCCGCGGATGCAAAACGAGGATCCCAAGTCCTCCCTCCCAACCGGTGCAGGTGAGCGCTCGTCATGCCGAACGGGAGCGGGCGGAGCTGATGCTGGGAATCCTGGGATAGAATGACGCGAAAAGGGCGACGGGGCGAGGGTCCGGAGTGCATAGCGGGAATACTCGTCTGCTCTCGCGTGGTCGTGGGAGCAGGCGTCTGCTCCTGCGCGGTCGACGAAACAGTCGTCCGCTCCCGCACTGTCGTGGCAGGACCCGGCTCCTCACTCGCAGTCATGGGAGCCGGCGTCTCTTCCCGCAAGGTAATGCCAGGACGCGTATCCTCCCGCGCGACACTGGGTGATCTCTCCTCCGTGCCCCCGAAAGATCCCCAAAACTCCTCGCTCCCCATCATATCCATGTCTCGCTGGTCTGCCGCCCTCCGCGCGGTGTGCGTCCTATCGTCACGCACGTCGCCCCCCTCGTGCAACTCATCAATCTCACGTGGGATGGGAAGCATTAGGTCGTCCGCTGCTTCCGACCACCTCTCGCCCGCAGAGTCATCGTCCCTGGGGTATGGGCGGAAGATAGTCGCACGAGCACCGAAAACAGACTCAACAGGGGGCGGTGCAGAAGACCCAATGGGATCGCGCGCAATGAGGGCAGCCTGCTCCTCGATCTCCTCCTTCGGCATCCCACTCCTCGTCCCCGAGCCCACAGGCTCCACGTCCAATCCCGCCTGAGCGTCAAGCATGCCCTCGTCTCGCTGCCAAGGGAGGACGTATCCACAACCTGCACGTCTGTACTCCATCAACCACACATTTGCGGTGATCTCAACAAGATGAACGACCTTCTCAAAGGCCAACTGATTACGCTTCTTCGTATGGATGCCCTCGTGGACCGCCCAGTTCCTCTCCGCTGAAGAGGCGCAAGACCACATGTGCATCAAACGAAGAGCGCAATGTTGTAAATCGGGCACGTCTCCCCCGTACTGAGACCACCACGACGCGCACTCCAACGTTTCGCAGTCTCGGCTGCAACTACGAGCTCGAGCGTGGCCCTCTGCCCCGCCCCAAAACCCATACCTACCCTGCTGCATGTGAAAGTCCTCGAACTGCCAACATACCTCAAGGTAACGACCACCCGACTCGTCGTGGCCCGTCTGAGACAACAGATACCTCTTGGCTTGTCGAACAAGCCGAGTGTGGTACCAGCCGAGTTGCGCGGAGAAGTACTGAACATCCCGGCGATGGGGGTTTAGTAAGAACGCGGTGCAGTGTGCGGGCTCCAACATGTGCTGTATACGGGCCTGCACACGCCTCATGATACGGTCAGAAAAGGACTGGCCAAGAGGAATGCAAGCGTCCTGCACAAGGCGTGCATGATTCGGAGTCCAGTCTACAATGAGGGACATGAACTGCCCGCCACGGTCCATCCGCCTCAGCAAGTCCATGACAGGATCCATGACGTGCTTGATGGCACACATCCTCTCCCACCACGGGGACCACGTGATCTGTCGGCGCACCCAACGTGCCATGTCGTGAACGTCGGGGGACCACGGGATCCTAGCCCAAGCCCGACCGTCCTCCGCTGTCATCATGCCCTGCAAAAGATCGTGCAGAGTGAGCAGCCTCTCCAACATGGAGTACACGGATGCAAAGCACGTCTCGCATGAAAGCACGAGGCCCAACGCCGCGCTCCACTTCCGAAAGAAGCTGAGAGCAGCCTGGCGGGTTTTGAAAAACACCACCAAAACTCGGGGACGTGTGATCGTGTCCACGAAAGAGGTGCAGATCATGTCAATGTCTGACAACAACTTGTTGCAGACATGGACGCAACACGGGAGCCAAGTGATCCTCCTCTGCTCAGGGGGCATAGATGGCAAGGCCAAAGCCCTCACAACCCCCACGTATGAAGAGGCGGAGTCAGTGCATATAGCATGGACCCGTTGTGGGCCACCGAATTTGAAAGCATGAAAGATGGCGACCCATCTCTGTAGGACGTGCACCACATCGTCCGGCTCCCCCTCTCAATTGATTGTCGTGTACATGACGAACCCCCGAGACCCAGCTGCGAGGAAGTTCACGATCGGTCGCCCATCTCGTGACTTCCTCCTGTCAGAGAGGAGGGTGGCGCCACTCACCCATAAGGGCTGCCTAACCTCCTCCAACTCCTCCGCCAACTGCTCGCGGTGGATCTCCACAGTTCGCATATCTGCGATCTCGCTGTGGGATGGAAGCACGGGAAGAGGTGCTCCACCAAGTTGCCGAAGAGCAACCTGCTGGAGGTCCCGTTATGGCATGTTGAGGAAGGCATTGAAGGCAATCCCGCTGGAATACACCCAGCGAAAGAATGCCTTCCTCCACTCACCAATCCACTCGCCACCATATGTGTCCGTCATTTTCTGTTGCCGCAGCCTCTTCCCTGCACTGGTGCCACCTTCCTCTTCGAAGAACCCGGCGTGCTTGCTCTATCAGGAACAACACTCTTCGAAGAACTCGGCGTGCATGTCGTCTCAGGCGGGACGGCCTTCTTCCCGCACTTCCGCTTCCAGTCCACCACCCTCTAATGAGCCATCGGATCGGACATCGGCACACCCCCCTCTCCCCTCGGTGTCCGCTCCCCCTCAGCCACGCCAACCTCTAGGTCAACGTCTGCCTCGTCCTCCTCCGCGGCACCCGCACCCTCCCCATATCTCGCAACAACTCCCTCCGCATAACGCTCGGTATCCTCTCCCTCGCCCACACCTTGTGCAGGATGCCTTGCCTACCACCCATCGCACCCGACCGCGGGACATCGAGACCACACTCATGTGCGAACCGCCGCACCCTCTGTACCTGATCGGCCTCGAAGCGGTGTGTGCATTTCTGCGCAATCCGGTACAATGCATCATCAGACACCTTCTTGCAATAATTCGGCTGGGTGAAGTGTTTCGTTGCGTAGAATTGGGTTCCCTGAAACACCTTATTGCAGAAGGTGCACCGTAGCATATTAACCCCCCTGTTATCGACCTTCTGGCCGACAACAATGTAACGGTACACAGCAGATTTGCGCCTATAATCCTGCTGCACATGTTCGGGCGCAGGCTCATATTCGCGCGTCTGTTTTCGCGGCATTGTGAACCCCCCTCAAAGACGCGCCCATCCAGTCGTAAGCGCCTCCCCTCCGACACCTCGTGGCCAGCGGCACCACAGAGAAGCTTGTATCCCCGGCCTGCCCAGTCCCAACACTGTAACACTCGCCTCTTTTCTCCCACTGCCAAGCCTGCGAACAGTCGTTGACCCCCCGCAACCGCCACACACCCGTCGCCCCCGGCGAAAACCCATCAACCTTGTTCAACTCCCGTTGAACCCCGTTGAAACCCCGTTGAAACCCCGTTGAAACCCCGTTGAAACCCCGTTGAAACCCCGTTCAAAACCCGTTGAAAACCCGTCGGCCTCCCGTCGAACCCTCGTCCTGCAGGTTCGATGGGGGACCGCCGGCGCCGCTGATCGGTAGGGGATGTCGCCTGCACCGACACAAAATAAAACAATCAATCAATCAAACAAACAATCAAGCAATCAAGCAAATCAGCCAAACCATCAATCACTCAAACCATCAAACCAACAATCAATCCATCAATCAATCCATCCATTCATCAATCAATCAATCAATCAATCAATCAATCAATCAATTGATTGATTGATTGATTCATTGTTTTCATCAATCACTCAATCAATCAATCAATCAATCACGATCTTGATTGATTGATTGATTGATTGATTGATTGATTGATTGATTGATCGATTGATTGATTGATTGATTTTGTATATTTTATGTTTTTTTTTTTCGTTTTTATTTCTCATGTGTGTGTGTGTGTATGTGTGTGTGTGTGTGTATGTGTGTGTGTGTGTGTGTGTGTGTGTGTGAGAGAGAGAGAGAGAGTGAGTGAGAGAGAGAGAGAGA